ATTTGAAATGGAAATGTGCATTGTGTAAAATGTAAATGATTTAATTGTGTTGCTGATTCAATTTGGTTAAATGTTTTGCATCTATACAGGATGCTTAGATAGGATCAAATATTTTTTATTTTTTTTTTTTGATTAACTTCTAAATAAATGCAATGTAACTAACTTTCGTCCTTTTTGTATTTGTACATGTACTTCCATTTTGCTTTAAATGTTGGTTTTTAAATTTAAACGTTAATTTTAGTCCCTTATAAAATGTCTGTTAACCTGGTAATACTATTGGTCTAAACATCTAGTGTATAATTTGACTCAATTTATAAATGAGCTGCACAAAAGATTGTTTTTTTCTTAAATTGTTCCTAATCAATACCTCAGAAACTGCAATGTGTTGGCCAACCACATTTGATAAGGGACATGCAATTGACCTAAAGGTTATGAGTGCTTCTCATTTCTTATTTGTACATCCTCATTTCCTTTCCTTGCTTCCTTCCCTCTCGTTCTAAAGGGGTGAAGCTGAGACACGAGGAAGGAAGCGAGGAAAGGAAACGAGGACGGAGGAATCATTTAAAAGCTTTTTTATATACATTGGGAATATTTCATCACTCGAGTGTCACTCCACAGTGTCCTCAGCAGTGCTAAAAGGATCTGCCCTTATGTTGTTGAAGTTTTGTTAGTTAATAATTCATAGTAAATGACAAAGATAGGCTATACTGTTTAAATATGTGAGATGTGGGTTTATATAAACTGCAAAGGTAATGGATACATTAAAATGATTGTGACCTATGTAAAGGGGAGGAGAATTGATACGTGTTTCACGTTTAGTCAATAAAACAGTTCCACATTAGGATACACCTGTGTATCCTTGATTATACTTGACCTCCTCTGGTCAAGTATAAATCAAGGATACACAGGTGTCTCCTCACTCCTCGACTCCTCACGATGCAATAAGAGAATTGAGATGTCCTTCAAGATAGAGAAGCTCGATCGGTTTCGGGTCATAGGAGGGAGGACGGAGGAGCGAGGAGACGAGGAGGGATATTGAGAAGCACCCTATGTGTTTGATTCCTGTTTGATGCATCTTCATAAAATTATGTTTAATGATTTGTCACTTACAGCCAATAGCTGCAGTTCTACCTTCAACTTAAGTCTCTGTAAGCAAACCAAAGTGTGCGAGTGTAAAGCAAAAGACTATAACTTTGAAGATTGTTTAATCAAATCCAATGTGTAGCAAGCGTTAAACCATGTGAATTATGCAATCTGCAAAAGAGTCCTAGTAAAAAAAAGTCATGTATCCAAACAACCATAAGGGCTTGGCCCCGCAAAGGCTGCTTGCAGCTTTAATAGCAATTGTTATTGTCAAAATAACAATTTGCTCATTCTTCCGCCAATGGAAGTCTATGGCAGCCCTATGAACCGTAAGTAGGAAAATGATGAAATTTGGCACACTTGTAGTGATGCTAATGATTAGTAATGGGACCAATTTTTGACCCTCTAGGACCAACTCTATAGCGCCACCACCAGTTCAAAAATTCAACATTGAAATGGTTATAACTTTTGAACCCTTTGCTCTAGAGACATGAAACTTAGTACACCTGATTCCTCTCATCATGCTGATCACAACCAATACCTTACATTAAGACCCCGCCCATTACAGTAGTGGCCATTTTGAAATGTACAGTATTCAGTTTTTTCGCTACTCCTCCTTCAAATTTTGTCCAATTTTGTCCAAACATGCGCTCAAATGATCATCAGACTGAGCCGCACAGAAATGACTGGACAGATTTTTTTTAATTTTTCATTCTTCAAAAGTTATGCTTTTGCAAACTTAACAAGGTCCACCCAAAATTGATTAAGAGGCTGTATCTCGGCCAAAGTTTGATCAATCGAAACGAAAATTGGTACGCTTCATCGGATGCATGTTCTGAGGTTCCACGCCAAAGTTGGAAACAGCGCCACCTATTGTTCCAGAGATATCATTGTTTTTTGAAAAAACGCTTATAACTTTTGCTAATATTGCTTGAAATTTGATTTCTATATGTCAAAATATTCCTTGGTTTATGCCGATTTCAACGATATCTCATATGTTACTTTTGAACAATGTGACTGGCCACCATATTGGAGCGAATGGGAAACAGTTTTTTCGCTACTCCTCCTTCAAATTTTGTCCAATTTTCTCCAAACATGCACACAAATGATCTTCGGACCGAGCCGCATAAAAGTACTGTTCCCGTTTTTTTTGCAATATGGGGAAAAAAAAAGTTATGATGTCGCAAAATGAACAAGGTTGACCCAGAGATGGATCAGAAGCTGTAACTTGTGAACAGTTTGTCACAAAATCATAAAATTGGTATCTATTGATTCCCTGCGTCCTGTCGAATCAGAGGATATGCATTTTGCCACGATTGGATGCACCAAGTCATAAGATACATTAGAACTGAGCTAGCTTAGCATGCTAATCTGGATAACATGTCATGGAACTTTTTTGTGAATCATTCTCACACTGAACCCTCTCCCCTGCTGCTTTGAAATTCACAACCTCTGAGTGGCGCAATATGTTAAACCATATATCTCCAATACTGAACCACTCTGGTTGTGGGTTCGAGTCCCACGTGGGGCGACTTAAAAATTGTGTAATAAGTTTTCATTTCAATTCCTTCCTGCTCTGCACTGCTGTTTGTGCTTCATTTACATGTGTATTCAATTTGTGCTGTTTTTGTTCTTGCGGCTCTGCACTGCTCTTGGTGCTTAAATGCCTGCTGCACTGCTGTACTTGATGTGCTGGCTCTGTGCTTGGTCTGCTTGCTGCGCCTTGCTGGGCTTGGCCCCGTGTTGCTGCTTGCAGCTATATTTATTATTATTATTATTCCGTAAATGGAAGTCTATGGCAGCCCTATGAACCGTAAGTAGGAAAATGATGAAATTTGGCACACTTGTAGTGATGGTAATTATTAGTAATTGGTCCAATTTTTGACCCTCTAGGACCAACTCTATAGCGCCACCACCAGTTCAAAAATTCAACATTGAAATGGTTATAACTTTTGAACCCTTTGCTCTAGAGACATGAAACTTAGTACACCTGATTCCTCTCATCATGCTGATCACAACCAATACCTTACATTAAGACCCCGCCCATTACAGTAGAGGCCATTTTGAAATGTACAGTATTCAGTTTTTTCCCTACTCCTCCTTCAAATTTTGTCCAATTCTGTCCAAAATTTGCTCAAATGATCTTCGGACTGAGCCGCACAGAAATGACTGAACAGATTTTTTTTATTCATCTTTGTTCAAAAGTTATGGTGTCGCAAACTTAACGAGGTCCACCCAAAATTGGCTAAGAGGCTGTATCTCGGCCAAAATTGAATCAATCGAAACGAAAATTGGTACGCTTCATCGGAAGCATGTTCTGAGGTTCCATACCAAAGTTGGGAATAGCGCCACCTACGGGTCATGAGATATGAAAAATTGCTATTTTGGCCAATAACTTTTGAACAGTTTTTCAGAAAATCATAAATGTGGTATCTATGGATTCTTTGGATCATGCCGAATCCATGGATATCGATTTTGCCATGATGGGCTATACCTCGTGTCCGCCATTTTGAATTTTGTCATAATTTGCAATATCTTTAAACCTCTTTGAAATTTCTTGACCAAATTGGGCATGGATCATCATTAGCATGCCCTGAAGGTACATGAGAAGTTTTATCACAGCGCCACCTACTGTTCCCAAGTTATAAGGTTTTTTGTAAAGATGCTTATAACTTTTGCAAATATTGTTCAAAATGTAATTTCTTCATATCAATATGTTCCTTGGCTTATAACGATTCCACCGATGTCTCATTTTTCATTTTCCAACAATGTGACTGTCCGCCATATTGGAGCAAATGAAAAACCATTTTTTCGCTACTCCTCCTGCAAATCTTGCTCGAATTTGTTTAAAATTTTGTCAGATAATCTTTGGACCGAGCCGCACAGAAATGACTGAACAGATTTTTGATATTCGCTATCGTTTGAGAGATATTTGCCTCCAAAGTTGACCTAGCCTGTGTTTGTTGACTTATGCTAGTTAGCTTAGCATAATAATTGTTTAGCATGCTAACCAGGTGCAATTCTTTTGAATGCGGCTCTTCAGCTATCAGGATAACCATTAGCTACGTTAGCATTGAGCTAGCTTAGCATGCTAATTGCGTTAACATGATTTTGTGTGCTTATTCTTATACTGAAGGATCTCCTCTGCAGCTCAGTTATTTGCGTCTTCTGTGTGGCGCAAGCTGCTAAACCACGTGTCACGAATCCCGAACCATTGCGGTCGTGGGTTCGAATCCTGTGTGGCACATGCCCAGACCGCAAGAGGTACTGTGGCCTTAAGTGGTGGAAAAGTTGTTTCAGTTCTAGACATGGTGTCTGTCTGAGAAAGGACTTCCAAAAATATAACATGCAGCAAATTTATATATTAAAAAAATCTTAATTTTGAGGTTATTTTCACTTGTACTACTGACCCAACAGTTTTTTTTTTTTCAAATGTCGGAGTTGCTGCTGCTTCCGGGCTTGGCCCCTGCATTGCTGCTTGCAGCTATATTTGTACAATGTTTTTGCATATTTGGGAAATATTTGTTCATATATTTGGTTTAGTTTTGCACTTTCTAAAATACTATTTTCCTTGACTAAAATGTTTGTCTAAAATGAATAAAATATCACACGGTACATTTTTTAATTATACAGGATATTTTTCTAAAAAGACAAAAAAGGAAAAATTAACAACTGCCTGGGTACTACATCTGGTTCTTTTCTTCACTAGTCTGTTCAGCCCATTTGAATGCTTTTGCAAATTGATGGGAAGCTTCTATTGCTAATAGTATAATGTTGCTCAGTTGTTTTAACCTTGTTTTACCCCTGAGCAAAGAATAAAGAAGAACTTTGCTGTGAGTATGTGTATCTGCTGTGAGTGCCTTTAAACTTGAGGTAGTTTGCAAACATGGTTTAAGGATTTTGCTCATCTCTTCTAGGAGGAACAGTACAAGGCTTGATCTCCGATCTTTTAGGAAAGCGAGCTCCTGTGTTGGTAGTCAGTTTGCTGCTGGCCATGGGAGCATTAGTGGGATACAGCCGTAAGTTTAGAAAAGAATCTTCAGTACCATTTCAGACACTTTCTTTTATTGCTTACTTTGAGAAATGACAGCTTAATAAATGTTTTTATTTATTTATTTATTTTTTTCCTTTTTTTTATTTCTTTCAATGCTTGCTCAGACTCTCCAAATGACCAGATTGTGAATGGAGCTCTACTAGCAACGACAGGTGACACATTATAATACACTGAAACGATTTTTCTGAAACGAAGTCAACAGTTATTCCTCCTCCCTATCTAAGAATTTATTAACATTTGAATATTTCGGAATTATTTTATTTCAGGTTTCCTTATTGGAGGCCCATCAAACATGATCAGTTCAGCAATCTCTGCAGATTTAGGCCGACAGGAGGCGCTGCAGAACAGTCAGCAGGCTCTGGCCACAGTCACAGGAATCGTGGACGGCACAGGCAGCATTGGAGCTGCGGCGGGACAGGTAATACATTGCTTTGATTTTTTTTTTTTCTCTTTGGTTTTAAACTTAGTGTCAAACCTCAGATTTTTTAAGTTCAGAATTTTTTAACCTCAGAAGTTAAAAAAAAATTGAACCTTGCTGTATTAATGTGGCTCATGAAGTCCAGAATAATCTTTATGCTGCTTTAATAACTTGTACAAAACACTATTAATCAATAATGTCATAGCCCTCTAGGAATAAGGAATAAAATCAAGGAATAAAGTCAATGTATTTTTTACTCTTATTGTAAAAAAGTCACACTGCCAAAATTATATGCATTTTAATTCTAAGTGTGATGTTTATTTTGTATTTAAAGACATTATTTTTATTATTAGTCACACTTGGGTAAACGTCTATAGCAGTGAATGGGAGATAACAGCAAATATAATTTTTGTTTTCCCGTTTGCTCTAATAACTAAAGAAAAAAAAACTGCGTTTCCACAACTTTCCAAAAGACAATAATAAAATTGAGAGAAATTGATCACAGCAGTCAGAAGAGAAAAATATTTGCCATTGTATTAGAAACACCCTCGCGGCAGAGTTAATCATTTACTGACAAGGTTGAATTATTGGACACCCAAGGTGGTGATGCGGCCACAATGCAAAGCGGATTATTTTCTAATAATTCAATGGACTGGGAATCAATTATTTCGCTTATACTACGGTTACCACACCTCAAGACATTGTCCAAATGTTGCATTTTTAACTCCTTAAACCTGTTTTTGTCCATAAAATTGTCCATTGTAGAGCTAAGTGACAGAGGCTTGAGCCATTTATTATAGCAGTCTAATGCAGTAATTAAAGAGAGGGAGAGAGAGATTAATCGGGTGTGAATTACCTGAGAGTCTGCGAATCTCAACAGTGTTTCGGCACCAGCGTCTCTACAAATTGCAAAATTGTAAATTTATTACCGAAATAAATTGTATTGTAAATATATTATCTTTGGAAACTGAGAATTGTTTTGTTGTGCTTTCCATACATAATAAAACGTTATTTTGTGGCAAAATACATGGAAATAATTTGACATGTTTATCCTTCTATATTTAATTTAAGCTTGTAAGCTTGGTCAGTGTCATTGTGGGTTTTGGTTATTTTGCTGTTGTAGGCTGTAAAGACCTTTTGAAATAACTGAAATCTTTTTTCTTTAAAAAGAAGAAAATATGAAAAACATAGATGATACTAAATTTGATGACCGAGGAAATGTCATCAAAATCTGTGAAAAAGTGTTCATTATTGTTTTTGTGTTTTTGCTGTAAAACTGAATGTATAAGTACTCATTTTAAAAGTATTTCTGTCTTTTAGTACCTGGTGTCGCTTATTGAGAGCAAATTTGGATGGATGTGCGTCTTCTATTTCTTCATAGTCATGGTAGGTAATTGTAATGCTGCAACAGTGAAGCACTAAAGGCAAATCCTTTTATTAGACAAGACAAAATTATTCAGTGAACAGAGACTCATTTTTAATTGTCAAATTAAAGGCGAAGTGTAATTTGTGTAATTAGCATCACCAGACTGAATTAATAAAACAATAAAAAGGACCAAAATATGAAATTCTTGCATCAGATTAAATTGTGTCCTATCAAATTCTCTCTAGAATAACAATGTACCCCCCTTTAAAGAGCCCCTATCATAGCATTTGAAATGTTCCTATTTTTGTTTTAGGAGTTCCCAAAAACAGTTTAACGTGCATGCAAGGATAAAAAACACTTTATTTCTCTTATAATATGCATTTATTTTTAACTGATTTGCTCAACAACTCCCGTTCGACGATTCATTTTCCCAAACACCTTCTTGAGTGACGCGAATCTGCGGCTATTGGTCAAATGACCCAGTCAGTTGTTATTGGTAAACCGTAGGCAGAGACTGTCGGCAACGGAACGCCCATAACCAGGATTATAGCTTGTCAAGTGTTGAAAATTGTATATAGGGTTTGAACAAACGTGTCAGAAAAAGTGCACTTTCCACACGGTCCCTTACTCGCGTCTCCGTCAAGAGCAAGCTTTCCCGGCGAAAACTCACATTGCGGCGGTGCTTATTATATAGAGCGGAGTCATATTTGGCTAAGTCGTTTAGGAGGTAATTGCCATTTTTCAATGAATGTCTGGTGAATATCAAAAAATAAAACTAACTTTACCCCACTTAGAAGCTGCGCGGAGTGTACACAACACAATATAACTATATTGTACATGCTACAGAAAACATAACAGCAAACATTATTAATATTACTTACAGATTGTGATTCGGAGGAGGACGAACCTGATCCATATATAATACACTGGATACTGAGCCCTCCTTCGGGAACAACCGGCATGCGAATGATTCGTCATTAAAATGATGAGAACACAAGGTTCGGGCTATAATGTTGTGGGTTGCAAATATGAACTCTGACCACTGATTCTTCACATGGTCGTCCCTGGACAATGGAAACAAGTGGCTGAACGGTCTTTGCAATGTAGAACACAGCGTCTTCTCGACATGATGCGATTCAGCTGAAGCATTTGAATGTGTTCTAGACGTCACTTCAAGTCTGCGCGTGCAGTTGTTGGGAGCGGCCAATGACCTATCTACGTCACGACGTTTCAAAAACAATTCATTTCATAGACTCAGAGTCGACTCTCACTTTTGAAAGACAATAACTTTATATACGGGCATTTTCAGATATAAATCTTTGCAGGATGTTTTCATTCCCTTAGAGCTATATTCCACACTACATGAACAGTCATTTAAAAAAAAAAATCCATGATTTTTGCTCTTTAATGGCAAGCAGAAAATCATGCTTCATAATAGTAATATAACTAAAACGTATGGGCTATACTTAAAAAAAAAACTAAAGGAAGGGAGCAATCTCTTTACTGTGTCCAATCCAAACTTCGTTTCAGTAGCAAGAAAGAAAACTGCTTATCAAACCATTTCATGAAGCTTTAAGCTTGTATACGATTTAAACACTGCATAAATGAACATGATCGTCTCCTTAATGTGCCATCCATCTACTCTAAAGTCAATTCTGAAAGCTGAGCTGAGCAGACACTTCAAAGCTGCAGTCTGCAGTTTTTCCTCTTTGTTGCCATTTCTGTTTGAAATCTGCAATTGCAGTCATTAGCGGAATTATCAACTTTTCGTGAGTTGTACCTCGACATGGCACTGCGTGGATGAATCCAATGTTTTGAGGAGAATGTACAGCTGTCAATCACTGCGCTGATGTCGATACCGGCATCACAGTCCTTGCTTATCCTTGTTTTTCGCATAGTTCCGGTTGCAGTCTCCTTTTGTGACATAATGATGCAAAGACAATCTCGAATTCCCTGTGGAAATCCTCTTGTACCACTGGAATTAAAAACATTATTAAAAGCTTACAGCTTTGAATCAAGCTAAGGCAAGCAGATAACGTTGAACACTGGCTGCTCATATATTTTCTCAAACATTTATTTTGGATACTTTTTAACCCCAAAAAGTTAAGATGGACCTTTACCATTTGTCTTTCTCTCATCCACAGACAGGGTGCAGCGTGCTCTTCATCATTCCACTCCTCTTCCGTGAAATGCGCTCCTTATGCCGAGACAGTCAAGCTCGTACACATCAGCTCTGAGGTCATTCGGGTGACTTCTTTTGCCTGTGTCTTCATTGAAAATCTGACATTTTGAAAATACAGACTTGCTTTTGCTGCACCTCTTATTTAAGAATGTTTTTTTCCCCCTGAAAACAGAAACCTCATATTTAATCTGACTACTCTACATCAAGGCATTGTTCAGACAGGCAGCAATTCTGTGTTTATTTTTCCTGTATTCTCAGCAAACAAGAATAAACCTATCCTCAAGTAATTTCATTTATGAAGACAGTGAATGGTACTTAAGGTCTGTTTCTGTTTTATTTCAGTGTATTGCTGTGCCTGTACTTTTTTTTTTTTTTAATTCTAATTTTATTATTGTTAAAGGGCAGGGCCCTCTTGAGTTTAATTTATGGTGATTATTGCCTGATTGAATTGTTGTATTGAATGGGTTGTAATTTGTGTTAAATATGCACCAATTTTTTAATTCACATTAAAAACACTCAGTTACACTTTAGTATCACATATGTGAAGTGTATAATGGAATTTTTAAATGTAACACTGCAGTTCAGCAATTTGGTGTTTTGTTTCGTTTCAACTATTTGAACCTGTGCAGGTATTGCTTGAATGTTTGAATTATGTGATCCATTGTTCCTGCATATATACCTGTATATAAGTAACAACAAATTCAGGCAAACAACAAGATCAATGTCGAAATATTGATTCAGTCAAAGATTGATTAACAGTTTTTGACTGTTTTTACTGAGTTGTATGTCAATGCTAACATTCAGTAAAGTGCACAAACTCATCTTGTTTAGTTGTATTCACTGCAGTTTTCTGTTTATCTTCTTTTTTCAGTCAAGTGATAACTGTTCAGTGGCAAACATTTTTTGCATCCAGTCAAACCTATCCCTATGAAACAACAATATATGGGAATATACTGAAAAATGGGATATATTACATATATACAATACATTTCCATATATTGGATACTGGTTAAATATACTGCAATATATGCTTGGACCAAGCATATATTGCAATATGTATGGTTATGTTCATACGTATAGTCCTGGGCTTAGTTTCCCTAAAGCGTCGTAAGTATAAATTGGTCAAAGAGCAAGATCAACTTAGGCTTACAATGCTTTTTGGAAATGCAGGCCTGGTCAGAGTTATTGGGACTACTGGTAAATATGAACGAAGTAGCCTGTGAAAATAAATCTGCGTTGTTAATCCTTTTGACCTTTTATTCAAAGAAATCACAAAAAAATGTTACTTTTCATTGAAGTAAAACAATTGAAAGTCTCATTATGTAATACATGTTTTACTCTATAATATACATATATATATTGTCCAAAAATAATGGCACACTTTTATTCAATACAACCTGCAACCTCCCTTTGCCAAAATAACAACTCTGAGTTATCATTATATAGGTAATTCCTGATGGATTTGGAGAGCACCTGACGAGAGATCAGAGAGCACTCTTTACAGAATCTCTAGACCCTTCGAATTCCCAGGTTAAAGTTGGTGCACTGTCCTCTTCAGTTCAGATCAGATCAGGGGATTGGAATGAGACCCATTTTTGTGTTGTTGCTTGTTTTGAATCATTGTCTTAACCAGATCCAACCACGGCACATTATACGATTTTTTTGGGCCAAAGTCGGTCAGTTTGGTTTTTTATCTATTGTTATTTGATAGAATCCATAATGCTGTGTATCAGAACAAGACGTCCAAGACATCTGGCAGAAAAACAGGCCCACAACATCAAAGATACAACAGTATATTTGGTAACACTATATTTCTATAGTCCACTTTAGACATTCTACTAACTATAAGTACACTGTAAAAAAATATTGTTGGTTTAACTTAAAAAAAGTAAGTAACCTGGTTGCCTTAAAATTTTAAGTTGATTGAACTGGAAAAAGTGAGTTAATGCAATGAAGGAGATTGATTTAATCATCAGAAACTTAAAATAATAAGTTATCTCAACTAAATAAATTATTTAAGTTGATTTGACATAAGAAAAAATGTTGTGATAACTAATCTTAAAAATATTTTTTTTAAGTGTAACTTTTCAACTACGTCAACTAACTCTCATTAGAGTATTAGTAGCCTGTGTGCTTAATATCTTGTAATGCTTCATTTTGATGGTCCCCCAAAAGATTTTCTACTGACTTTAGTAAGTTGCCAACTACAAGTCAATTTATTCTACTTTTCTACTTATCTGAACACCTAACCCTAACCTAACAGTCTACTAATACTCTAATGAGAGTTAGTTGAGATGTAGTTGCTAAGTAACTTATAGTTAGTAGTACTAGAATGTCTAAGGCTATGTTTACACGGAAACGATTCTGAAGAGAAAACGCAAAAGTGGCGTTGCGTTATAGCTTTTTATTCTGCGTTTAGACGAGTGTTATTATGGGTGGGAAATCCGCATGCATATGGTGACGCAAAAGTGTGTGAAATTCAATGTAGTATGCACTCCATGCGGCTAGGTGCCAATGTGAAGCACTGCCACGCAACAACACCAAGTCCACATGCCTGCGCACAACCTTCACTCACCATACACCCTATTGAGAATGAGGAGTCACGTGCCTATTTGGGCGGGGTCTGAGCCGGTCGGCCATGATGGTAGGAGACGCTATCGGTTACCAGGGTTTTTATCGGTTTTTAACGCAGCAGTTACTTCCATGCATGGTAAAACAGTGCGATATTGCGAGAAACTCCTCTACTACCGAGCTAAAAACACACGTAATCAATACTGTTTTGTCGTGGGAATCCTACCAACATGGCGGAAAGGGGAGGGGCACTGTAAAATGACGTCAACTCCTCATTCTCAATAGCAACTATATTGCTGTAGCCTACTGGGATTTGTTCTAATTATTATATAGAAAAGTGTCTGTAATGACAACATTTTGTTGACTAGTTTTGGATAGATTATAAAGTTTTTACTCTAAAATAGACATCAAATAAGCTTTTGTTAGACAGTTTCTGCTCATATGTTAAAGGGAAACTAAACCCCTGGTCAGAGCCTGACTCCACCCACTGGCAATATTTGAAAAATGCTGAAAAAGTGGGCAGACCCCAGCGAAGATAGAGGGGACGAAATAGATGCTAAAACACTCTATCCTGCTCGTTTTCAATACTCGCAATTCCAACTCCTGACTGGTTTTGACTAAACAAGCTGTTTTTTATTCTGTCAAGGGCGTAGCTCGTACCAAGAGCGTGGTGAGCTGAAACCTGCGTACGTCACGAAGTGCGGAACATCCAATAGGAAAATTCAACTGCAGTAGCCACCGTTCATCCGCAAGAGGGCAGCACTAAGATGTTTTAACACCATATATTGTAGAAATAAAACACTTTATTCACAAATGTCACAAAACGTTTCTCGCTTGTTTACACACATTTTCTGGTACTTGAGACACAATGACCACAACATGTAACTCATTCACCAACCCCCTGAACCAATTCTACTGAACTACAAGCACAATTCTTGCTTTACACTCAAATTGCAGTTCAAAAACACATTTTTTTCAAAACACTACACAATTCTCTGCGTTTGGCACAATTTTCATGCAGAAAATCTCTTGTTTTCATGAGGAACACACTGCCATTCAAATATTCAAACTGACTCGTCACATGTGCAAACACATTTCACACAGTTTTACAATTAGCGATCAGAGCTTTGGCATAAAAGTGGAGCAGGAGGAGGAAGAGCAAGGAGACAAGCAGTCTCGGATGAAATTAGAGCCACTTTAGTTGATCATGTCCTTGCCATGGCATGACTATGAGAGAGGCTAGACAACGAGTACAGCCATTTGAGTCGCTTCACCGTCACCTCCATCATCAGAACTTTCAGGGAGAAAAACAGGAAAACGGGTGGATCAGGCAAGAGGATTTTACCCCTGCTGCCTGGCTAAGGCTAATATAGCCTTTGATGTGGATGTGATTCTCTGGCTTGACCCAGACCAAAGACAGGAGGCTGAGGCGGAATAATCTTTATTTATTTATTTATTTATTTTGTGTGTGTGTTGTACTGTGTTGTACATGAATGAATAAAAATTTGTTAATGTATCCATTGGTTGTGTCTTTTCTCATGTGAAAAGGTTTGTGAGGAGGGGAACCACAAGTAACATAACTTACCAGTTTTGGAAATGTTGTTTTGACTTTATTGCACCTTTATTGCCAGCCCATTCTCACCCCCAAGGCGTCACTTAACTGACGCCTTGGGAAACATTTGGACATGCTTCAATATCTAATCTGACGCTTTAGGCGCCCTTTATCGTCAGTTAGATGACGCCCTAGGATCGCGCGTACCCTACCCCCACCCCACACCTAAACCTAACCGCGTCCTCTAACTGACGCTTTCCTTTAGCGTCAGTTAGATGACGCCGTAGGATCGCGTCATGTAAGTGACGCTAAAGGGCGCCTAAAACGTCAAATATTGAAGCATGGTCAAAGGTGACGCCTTGGGGTGAGAGTGCGTTGTTATTGCACCAGACTATGTTGTAGTGTGTGTTATTTTGTGTCCTGTCTGAGGGCAAAGTTTGGTTTTTCAGCAAGAGTGAATGGTTTTGAATGTAGAGTTTCATTTTGACCTGAAAATAGGTTGTTTGGGAAACTGGGTGAGACATTATGGATTTGTGTTTATTGTATTGAGAATAAGAGGCATATTTTCAAGAAATGTGTTTAAGCAATCGAGAAAAACTGTAATAAAGATCCATTCTTACAGATCATTAACCAAAAAAAGTTGGTTTAGGGTTTAGTTACTCTTTAATTATATAGTATGTTTTGACAAAAAAAAAAACAATCAACTGTTATAGTGTTTGTTCCAATGCAAGCTATATCAAATAAATTTAAATATATATATATGTATAATATCAATATAATATAAATGGCATCCACTATCCATCTAGAGTCTTTGCTATAGTCACTAAATCATCCTTGGACAAAAAACTGTTCTGATTGTATAAAAGTCACAGAACACTCCAGGTAGATTTTCAGCTCTCTGATAGGGCAGAAAAACGGTAAATGCTGACCCAATGGCCACCAAAGCGCTTTTTGCCTCACATTCACCCATTCACTCATTCATTCATACACCGATGGCGGTGTCAGCCATGCAAGGCGATTTCAGCCTCTCAGAACATACTCCATATCAGACTGATCGTCTGTGAGTTCAGAGACCACTAGGGGAGTGTTGGCCTGTGAGAACATCTCTTCACCTAGATTCTGAATGCCATGTATACTGTATATGCTGCTCTCGGAGAGCTCAGATTGGTCTGTGCCCATAAGAGGAGGTCTCTTGCCATTCCATGCAGGTTGCCTGACCTGATGCCACCCTGGCGTTTTATGTAGGCCACCACTAACAAGTTGTCAATGTTGTAGACGTGGTGACATTTTTGGTTTGACAGAAATACTTTCAGGGCAAACCAACTGCTATTGATATGTTAGCTCTGCTCCGTGCTCGACCAGTGTCATCTTCAAGTCTAATGTATAGACTTGAAGATGACTGCAGCTGCAGCTTGTGTTTCTTAAGTCAAGTCAAGAATATTTGTATAGTGCTTTTCACAATATAGATTGCATCAAAGCAGCTTCACAGTATCAATCGAAACATAATAACAATTTGTTCATCTCTTAGAGGAAAAACATCCACGGTTGGTAGAGCTGATCAAGGGTATTGGTGATTGTTTAATTAATTTGCATATCCCCAACTGAGCAAGCCAAAAACAACAGTGGCAAGAAACTGAAAAACTCCATCAAGTGACCTATAAAAAAAAAAAAAGGCTCAGTCGGGGGCCAGTTCTCCTCTGGAG